GCACTCTAATGCTAGGCAAACACCGTCTGAGCCATAACTTTGTAATGGCAGAACTTTTTGCGAGGCAACTTGGCTCATTTTAAAGCTCTTGGAGCGAGCTTCGATATAGCGAATTCTCAGCTTAATCCGACCGACGGTCTGCACGGCACGCTGCGCGACGTTCAAGGTGCTCTTGCTGTTTTGACTAAGTCCTTCTTGATCCCTCTCTCTACAAACTCGGACCCGAGGATAGGGGCTGGTCTTGTACCAGGCACCCAGGGACCCTTGGAGGTGACCCCGAGGAGAGGTTTTAAGTTTGATTAAGTCCTAATAGCTTGAGTTTATTAGGCCCTTACACCAACAAGCTGGTATCAGAGCTGCGTTATAGTGATCCTCGTTATAGGTAGCTATGGCGGGCAACACCTCGGCGGGAGCTGGTGAATCTTCAGCCCAAGATCGTAGCGGCAGCCAAGATTCTGGTCTTTCAGCGCCAAGGGGAGCGCGAACAAACCAGGGCTCGCTTGTCAAGGAGGTGCTGAAGAATTTCACCGTCGAGAAGTTCAATGGTGAGGGCTATGATGATTGGGCCTGGAAAATGCAATTATATTTCCGTCAGATCGGTTTGCTGAAACTAATGATTGGGGAGGAGCCTAGACCGAGTGACCCCACGCTGCAGGAAGATTGGGACGAGCGCTCTTCGGCTGGCTACTATTTGATGTCGCAGAGTTTGGAGCTGAACCAGCGTCACCACGTCATGCACCTGCTGCCGGAGGTTGAATGCGGTCCGAAGGCGTGGACCGTGTTGAAGGAGCTGCACGCCCCGACCTCCGTTGTCGCAACGTTGATGCTGGAGAGGGAGCTGTCCGCGTTGCGCCTGAGCGAGGGAGAGCCGGTGCAACCAGTCCTGGACAAGATGCGCGACCTCTACGCGAAGTTGGCGACCGCGGGAATCACCTACCCGGAGCAGACCAAGTGCTTGAAGATGCTCTCGCTGCTGCCGGAATCGTGGCTTCAATTTACGAGCGGATTGAGCCTGCCGCAGAACCAGAGCTTGTGGACGCTCGAGTGGGTGCGGACGAAGATTCTGGAGGAGGACTTCCGTCGCCGCCAACTGAGGGGTGGAGACGACGGCAGCAGCGGCTACGGGATGCAAGGGAGCCGACGTGGCAGAGGACGTGGCTTCGGTGGTGCTGGACGCGGTGCAAAGAAAGACGACGACTCCAACGACCAACAAGGAGGTACCGGTTGGGGTCGCGGTGCGAAATCTGGACGTGGGGGCAAGTCGGGTGCTGGTGGCAAAATGAAAGGGAGTTGCTGGTATTGTGAGAAGGAAGGGCACCCCTGGTTTTTGTGCTATAAGAAACCCGATGGATGGACCCCCCAGAATCGTCACCAGGATGGCGGCGCGCGGAGGAACCAGAAAAACGGCGCCAACATGGTCGCTGATTCGTCCGACAACAACCCGAAGGGCAACGGTGGTGCGGAGAAGAAGAAGGAGCGCACCGCGGGCCAATTCTTCCATGTGGGAGACAAGGGGGAGCAAGGAGACGCCTCTGCCAAAGTTGGAGCAGAGCTGCACCCCCTAGACTATTGGGTGTTGGACACAGGCGCTGCTTGGACGATGACACCGCGCAAGGACCTGCTGGACGAAGTACGAGCTGCACCGATCAATGAAGTGTGCTCCGCCTCTGGACACATGTTGAAGGTGGCTGGTGCGGGACGAGCTGCGTTTAAGGGAGCGGATGGCAAGCCGGTGGTGCTGCACGACGTTCTCTTCGTCCCCGACCTGAAGGCCAACCTTATCTCCCTCCGTAAGCTTGGCAAGGCTGGGGTGAACACCAACACGGATGGGGCACGCACTTATAAGGGGAAGCTGGGCAATCGGGTGCTTTGGGATCTGCACGAGAGCAAGGACGTGTACAGATCTATGTGGCAGCTGCCGGCCCTGGCGTGGCATGGTGGGGGGCAGGCTGGAGAGGGGTCTGCATCCCAGGGGGAGTGCAATGCCGTTGGAGGGGTTGGTGTGAAAGTGTCGGCCAGATCTGGGGAGACAGATTGGGCAACGGCACACCGGCGCTTAGGGCATGTGGCAATGCCTTTGCTGAAGCAGCTGGAGAAGGATGGAGCCGTTAAGGGTCTGAAGCTGAACGGACAGCCACCCGATGACAACTGTGAAATCTGTTTGCTTTCAAAGTTCACCCGTTTCCCTTTCCATAGTGTGGCTGGCAGGAGCAAGAAGCCTTTGGAGCTGGTCCACATGGACTTGGTGGGGCCGCTGCCGGTGCAAGGGCACAAGGGGGAGCGGTATTTTCTTACAATTGTGGATGACTGGAGCAGGCTGATGTGGGCGTATCCGCTGAAGCAGAAGGACCACGCCGCCTCCACGATACGGGACGATTGGCTGCCATTCGTGGAGAAGCAGGCGGAGTGTGTAGTGAAGCGGATTAGGACAGACCGGGGTGGTGAGTTCCTTGGAGCTGAAATGACGGCCTGGCTCAAGAAGCAGGGCATCCAGAGAGAGCTGACCACGGCTTATACCCCACAGTCCAATGGTGTAGCAGAACGGGCAAACCGGACCATTCTGGAGACAGCTAGGGCGCTGCTCATAGAATCTGGGCTGAGCAACTCTATGTGGCCTCATGCTGTCCGGCACGCCACCGTCGCTAGGAACAGGGTGCTCACCAAGGTTGGGGATGACTCGTGGGTGCCTTTGGAGAGGTGGCTTGGGAGGAAGCCGCCGGTGGACATGCTGAGGGTGTTCGGTTGCATGGCAGTCGCCCACGTCCCCAAGACCTACCGCAGTAAGTTGGGGGCGAGTGCAATCTGGTGTGTGCATTTGGGGCTGGCTGCTGAGAGCAAGGGATGGCTGCTGTGGGAACCATCCAAGGGTGTGTTGTTTGACAGCAGGGATGTGAAATTCATTGAGGGCATGATGTATGGGACCTGGGAGAAACAGCCGGAGGCCCGGGTGTCCCAGCAGATGGAGCATATCACCATGCAGCTGGACCTGACTCCTAGTGTGTGGGAGGAGGGAGAGGAGGCAGCTGCTGGAAATGGTGATGGAGAGAAGGTACAAGAGGCATCTGCTGGTGGAGAAAATGGTGTGGAAACTGGCGGCAGCACTAGTGGAGCTGCTGGATCCGAGGGAGGAGAGCAGCAGCAGGGAAAAACTAAGAAGCCGAAGGGTGTCGTTATGAAGGGATGGGAGACACCCGTCTCCAGGCCAGGACGTACCCGTATGGCTACTAAGAAGCTGACTGCAGGAACTGATGCAGCAGAGCAGCAGCTAGGGACCGAAGAGGCATTGCTGATTCTACCTCATGGCTATGACCCGGATGAGGAGGATGAGCCTGCGTACTGTTTTCTTGCCCCTGCACCAGAGGAACCAGCTAGCATGGAGGAGGCATTAGCTGGACCAGATAGGGACAAGTGGCTGGCTTCTAGGAATGCTGAGTACCAGAGTCTGCTGGAGAATAGGACATGGGATCTGGTGGTGAGCAGCTTTAAAATGAGCCAAGTTGCCTCGCGAAAAGTTCTGCCATCACTAAGTTATGGCTCGGACAGCGTTTGCCTAGCGTTGGAGTGCTAGCATACTAGCGTTGACTCGGGTAGCATTCCGCCGTCGAATAGCGCAGAAACGAAATTCCAGCGAGGAAGGAATTCGCTTGAATCAATTTGACTATATTCAGGTACAAACAGAGAAGGATTAAATAGTTCTAGCTAGCAAGGACCTTGGGAATCAACCTGGGAACAACCAGGGATGATCCCAAATAATTCCAAGCAACAGAACCAACCTGGCTGGACAAAATAGCAGGTGGTAGGTTGGTAAACAACCTCTGGTTCTGTTTTTCCAACCTGGGAAAACAACAACCAGGTTCAGGTTCTAAAAACAGAACCTGTTTTGTCTTTGCCCAACCAGCCAAATGCTGGTTCCGCTGGTTTCCCCTGGCCTTGTAGCATGCAGATACAGACAAACAACATCCAACCTTCACCTAAATTGTACCCCTATAGTGCCTTCCCTGCTACACTATAGTTAACCAAACAAAACAGTACAATTTCGAGTTGGATAGAACTGAATCTGCGCAATCAACTCAACCGAACTGCAAAGCTTCCATCTTGGGTTCCTTTGCGAGCTCGTCCTTCCTGCTTGCACTGTTCATAGCGCATACAATGTTGTGCCAAAGCGCACATTGCGCGAGTACCTGCAAATGCATCAAGCGAAAAATGCGAAAGCAAACAAACACACGAACACACCATTCACACGCAAATGCATTCGCACACGCATACTCGTACAAACAGACGGCAGGATGTCGTGCAATGTGCATTTGCACCCAACACGACTGGCCTGTTGGTCCTACGTATCGGATGGACCAACTGGCTTGTTGCACCAATGGATTGGTTGGACCAACTGGATTGTTGACCCAATTGACCTGTTCGACCTACTAGCTATTTGACCCTATGGACCGGTTGGACAACCTAGACAGTTTTCCTAATGGACTGGTTGGACCAATTGGACTGTGGGCCCTATGGACCGGTTGGACCAACTGGCCTACTGTCCCAATGGACCCGTTGGACCAACTGGCCTGTTGTCCCAATGGACCGGTTGGACCAACTGGCCTGTTGGCTCTGTGGACCAGTTGTGTGAGGATCTTAGGATCAAGCTCAGAAAAGAGAATGGAATTGAATGTTTCACCTGGGTACAAGGCGAGGCTATATATAGGCTCGACACAAGGCCTAGTAACCAGGTGTTACGCGAAGGTTCCGAGGGTTGCGAAGCGTCCCGAACAGAGCCTTCCCGAATTCGGTAGAAGGCAATTCGGTGGCAACCGAAAAGCCTAGAATTCGGTGTACGCAACCTAGTTCGGTGCCTATAACTATAATAAATATAGTAAAAGCAACGAACCTAGGAAATCTAGCAAAAGCAAGCAAAATCAAGCAAAGCTAAGCTAGATAATGCATAATAAAGTAAAGGCAAGCTAGCAAAGCCAGCATAAGCCGTCGTACTCTCACACGTCCCCCCCTCAAAGCTGGGTGGCGTGAGATACACCCTGCTTGACAAGATAGTCCTTGAGAGCACGGCGTGCGTTGCCCATATCAGCTTCTGGCACCCAACTGTCCTCAGTGGGGTCGTATCCCTTCCAGCGTATCAGGAACTCGAGGGTCTTGCCGCCGCGGCGCCGATGAGTGAGAACGCGCTCGATCTCGTACTCTGGTTCATCCTGCACAAGAACAGGTGGTGGTGGCGGTAGCTGCCGTCCCTGGAACTGTTGGTTGGGGTCCTTGTAGGGCTTCAGTAGCTGAACATGGAAAGCGTTGTGAAGCTTCCACGTATCTGGTAAGCGCAAGCGGAATGTAACTGGTGTCACCTGTGCCTCCACGAGAAATGGACCACAGAAGCGAGGCCGGAGTTTGGATGGTAGGTGAGACAGGTTCAAGTTGCGCGTGTCAAGAAGCACCTGATCTCCGACTAAAGTCTTGTTGCTCCCGAAATGTCCCGCGTATGGTACGTCGTGAAACTCCTCCAATAGGATCTGCCGTAGCGGGGCGTAATTCGGTACCCAAATCTTTCCTGAACCCTTCCTTACCGCTAAGTCTTTCTCCCACTGTAACAGCTTCTGTTTCTCTGCTGTAGCGATCTCGCCGTCCACGGAGTACCCATGTTGGAATAGACCCTTGAGCAGAGGGTTCATCCCTTCGAGCTGGATGCCTGCTACATGACCTGGGCGGCTCAACGCGTCTGCTTTGTTGTGGAGCCCGGGTTTGTAGACGATGTCGTAGTGGAAGTGGGTCTCCAAGAAATCCACCCACCATACCTGCCGTCGTGAAAGCGTCGGCTGCGACTTCAGGTACTTGAGGCTGCAGTGGTCAGTGTAGACTGTGGTCTTGGCTCCCTCTAGGTAATACCTCCACGCCTTGAAGGCTACGACTATGGCTAAGGCTTCCTTGTCGTGAATGGGGTAGTTCAGTTCTGCTCCGTGTAGCTTTTTACTGAGGTAGGCGATGGGCTGCAAACCGTTCCCGTGATCCTGCATCAGTACTGCTCCGACTGCCTGGTCACTAGCGTCCGCTTCAACTACGTAGTCCTTCTCGGGATCCGGTAGGATGAGTACTGGCGCTGTGGTCAGTGCTGTCTGTAGCTGTTCCATGGCTTGCTGATGAGGAGCACTCCATTTGAAGGGCGTGTCCTTTTTCAGTAGGTCTGTCAGTGGCGCTGCTATCTTAGCGTACTGCGGCACAAACCTGTTGTAGTAGTTGGCGAAGCCGAGGAACTGCTGCAACTCCTTCACGTTCTCCGGAACTTTCCACTTCTTAACGGCTTCGATCTTCCGCGGGTCTACGTGTACGCGGCCTCGGCACTCACCATGTGCCCGAGAAATTGCACCTTCTTCAGTGCAAAGTCGCTCTTCGACAGCTTCACGTAGAACTTATTCTTCCGCAGGATCTCGAACACCTTCCGCAGATGCTCCACGTGCTCCTTCATGTTCTTGGAGTAGATGAGGATATCGTCCAGGTACACCACTACGCACTCGTCCAGCAGGGGCCGTAGAACACATTCTAGGAACGTCGGTGGTGCGTTGCAGAGTCCGAACGGCATCACCAAGTATTCGTAGGAGCCGTATCTCGTACGGAACGCCGTCTTGTGGATCGAGTTGTCCGCCATCTTGATCTGCCAGTAACCCGACCGTAGGTCCAGCTTCGAGAAGACTGTTGCACCACGCAGTTGGTCCAGTAAGTCGTCGATGCGCGGTATGGGGTATTTGTTTTTAACTGTCTGTTTGTTCAGTGCGCGGTAGTCGATGCACATCCGTAGACTGCCGTCTGGTTTTGGAGTGAAGAGAACTGGTGCGCCGTAGGGAGAGGTGGATGGTCGGATCAGTTGTCTGTCCAGTAAATACTCGATCTGTTTTTTCATGTCTGTCAGTTCGGTCGGACTCAGTCGGTATGGTGAGACGGGTTTCGCACCTGGTTCCTCCACGATCTCGTGCTCGTGGGTGCGTGCTGGAGGTACGCCTGCAGGTAGGTCGTTGGGCATGATGTCTTTGTACTGCTCCAAGACCTCTTTCACTGCTGCGGGTAGCTCGGAACCCGGTTTCACCTCTTCTGCTGCTGCCATGACCAGTGCTAGGTAACCCGTGTTACTCTCGTTCACCGTCTGTTCGAACCGTGCCAGTGTCATTTCAGGAACATCCCCTGTATCCGTCCAGCTTCGCAGCTCCACTCGTTTCCCGTTGTTGTAGATGCACGCCTTCCGATTGACCCAATCGATCTCGGGGTTGAACTGCTTCAGGAAATCTCGCCCCAAGATGAAATCTAGTCCCTTGATGTTCGTGATCGGCAACGTCGGCTTCCATCGTAACGCACCTATATGCAGCTGCAAGGATGCTTCGCCGTGGATGGGAAGCTTCGTACCGTCCACCATCGTTGCTGAAAATTGGGTCTCTTCCGACTTCTCTCCAATTTTCTCCAACGTCCCGCGGTCACACACCGAGTGGGACGCACCGCTGTCCACCAGTGCCTGGAGGCGTCGCCCGTTGCAGATCACCTCGAGGAGTAGTGGCTGCTGCTGTTGGGTGCAAATGCACATTGCACGACATCCTGCCGTCTGTTTGTACGAGTATGCGTGTGCGAATGCATTTGCGTGTGAATGGTGTGTTCGTGTGTTTGTTTGCTTTCGCATTTTTCGCTTGATGCATTTGCAGGTACTCGCGCAATGTGCGCTTCGGCACAACATTGTACGCGCTATGAACAGTGCAAGCAGAAAGGACGAGCTCGCAAAGGAACCCAAGATGGAAGCTTTGCAGTTCGGTTGAGTTGATTGCGCAGATTCAGTTCTATCCAACTCGAAATTGTACTGTTTTGTTTGGTTAACTATAGTGTAGCAGGGAAGGCACTATAGGGGTACAATTTAGGTGAAGGTTGGATGTTGTTTGTCTGTATCTGCATGCTACAAGGCCAGGGGAAACCAGCGGAACCAGCATTTGGCTGGTTGGGCAAAGACAAAACAGGTTCTGTTTTTAGAACCTGAACCTGGTTGTTGTTTTTCCCAGGTTGGAAAAACAGAACCAGAGGTTGTTTACCAACCTACCACCTGCTATTTTGTCCAGCCAGGTTGGTTCTGTTGCTTGGAATTATTTGGGATCATCCCTGGTTGTTCCCAGGTTGATTCCCAAGGTCCTTGCTAGCTAGAACTATTTAATCCTTCTCTGTTTGTACCTGAATATAGTCAAATTGATTCAAGCGAATTCCTTCCTCGCTGGAATTTCGTTTCTGCGCTATTCGACGGCGGAATGCTACCCGAGTCAACGCTAGTATGCTAGCACTCCAACACTAGGCAAACGCTGTCCGAGCCAGAACTTCGTAATGGCAGAACTTTTCGCAAGGCAACTTGGCTCATTTTAAAGCTCTTGGAGCGAGCTTCGATATAGCGAATTCTCAGCTTAATCCGACCGACGGTCTGCACGGCACGCTGCGCGACGTTCAAGGTACTCTTGCTGTTTTGACTAAGTCCTTCTTGATCCCTCTCTCTACAAACTCGGACCCGAGGATAGGGGCTGGTCTTGTACCAGGCACCCAGGGACCCTTGGAGGTGACCCCGAGGAGAGGTTTTTAAGTTTGATTAAGTCCTAATAGCTTGAGTTTATTAGGCCCTTACACCAACAAGCTGGTATCAGAGCTGCGTTATAGTGATCCTCGTTATAGGTAGCTATGGCGGGCAACACCTCGGCGGGAGCTGGTGAATCTTCAGCCCAAGATCGTAGCGGCAGCCAAGATTCTGGTCTTTCAGCGCCAAGGGGAGCGCGAACAAACCAGGGCTCGCTTGTCAAGGAGGTGCTGAAGAATTTCACCGTCGAGAAGTTCAATGGTGAGGGCTATGATGATTGGGCCTGGAAAATGCAATTATATTTCCGTCAGATCGGTTTGCTGAAACTAATGATTGGGGAGGAGCCTAGACCGAGTGACCCCACGCTGCAGGAAGATTGGGACGAGCGCTCCTCGGCTGGCTACTATTTGATGTCGCAGAGTTTGGAGCTGAACCAGCGTCACCACGTCATGCACCTGCTGCCGGAGGTTGAATGCGGTCCGAAGGCGTGGACCGTGTTGAAGGAGCTGCACGCCCCGACCTCCGTTGTCGCAACGTTGATGCTGGAGAGGGAGCTGTCCGCGTTGCGCCTGAGCGAGGGAGAGCCGGTGCAACCAGTCCTGGACAAGATGCGCGACCTCTACGCGAAGTTGGCGACCGCGGGAATCACCTACCCGGAGCAGACCAAGTGCTTGAAGATGCTCTCGCTGCTGCCAGAATCGTGGCTTCAATTTACTAGCGGATTGAGCCTGCCGCAGAACCAGAGCTTGTGGACGCTTGAGTGGGTGCGGACGAAGATTCTGGAGGAGGACTTCCGTCGCCGCCAACTGAGGGGTGGAGACGACGGCAGCAGCAGCTACGGGATGCAAGGGAGCCGACGTGGCAGAGGACGTGGCTTCGGTGGTGCTGGACACGGTGCAAAGAAAGACGACGACTCCAACGACCAACAAGGAGGTACCGGTTGGGGTCGCGGTGCGAAATCTGGACGTGGGGGCAAGTCGGGTGCTGGTGGCAAAATGAAAGGGAGTTGCTGGTATTGTGAGAAGGAAGGGCACCCCTGGTTTTTGTGCTATAAGAAACCCGATGGATGGACCCCCCAGAATCGTCACCAGGATGGCGGCGCGCGGAGGAACCAGAAAAACGGCGCCAACATGGTCGCTGATTCGTCCGACAACAACCCGAAGGGCATCGGCGGTGCGGAGAAGAAGAAGGAGCGCACCGCGGGCCAATTCTTCCATGTGGGAGACAAGGGGGAGCAAGGAGACGCCTCTACCAAAGTTGGAGCAGAGCTGCACCCCCTAGACTATTGGGTGTTGGACACAGGCGCTGCTTGGACGATGACGCCGCGCAAGGACCTGCTGGACGAAGTACGAGCTGCACCGATCAATGAAGTGTGCTCCGCCTCTGGACACATGTTGAAGGTGGCTGGTGCGGGACGAGCTGCGTTTAAGGGAGCGGATGGCAAGCCGGTGGTGCTGCACGACGTTCTCTTCGTCCCCGACCTGAAGGCCAACCTTATCTCCCTCCGTAAGCTTGGCAAGGCTGGGGTGAACACCAACACGGATGGGGCACGCACTTATAAGGGGAAGCTGGGCAATCGGGTGCTTTGGGATCTGCACGAGAGCAAGGACGTGTACAGATCTATGTGGCAGCTGCCGGCCCTGGCGTGGCATGGTGGGGGGCAGGCTGGAGAGGGGTCTGCATCCCAGGGGGAGTGCAATGCCGTTGGAGGGGTTGGTGTGAAAGTGTCGGCCAGATCTGGGGAGACAGATTGGGCAACGGCACACCGGCGCTTAGGGCATGTGGCAATGCCTTTGCTGAAGCAGCTGGAGAAGGACGGAGCCGTTAAGGGTCTGAAGCTGAACGGACAGCCACCCGATGACAACTGTGAAATCTGTTTGCTTTCAAAGTTCACCCGTTTCCCTTTCCATAGTGTGGCTGGCAGGAGCAAGAAGCCTTTGGAGCTGGTCCACATGGACTTGGTGGGGCCGCTGCCGGTGCAAGGGCACAAGGGGGAGCGGTATTTTCTTACAATTGTGGATGACTGGAGCAGGCTGATGTGGGCGTATCCGCTGAAGCAGAAGGACCACGCCGCCTCCACGATACGGGACGATTGGCTGCCATTCGTGGAGAAGCAGGCGGAGTGTGTAGTGAAGCGGATTAGGACAGACCGGGGTGGTGAGTTCCTTGGAGCTGAAATGACGGCCTGGCTCAAGAAGCAGGGCATCCAGAGAGAGCTGACCACGGCTTATACCCCACAGTCCAATGGTGTAGCAGAACGGGCAAACCGGACCATTCTGGAGACAGCTAGGGCGCTGCTCATAGAATCTGGGCTGAGCAATTCTATGTGGCCTCATGCTGTCCGGCACGCCACTGTCGCTAGGAACAGGGTGCTCACCAAGGTTGGGGATGACTCGTGGGTGCCGTTGGAGAGGTGGCTTGGGAGGAAGCCGCCGGTGGACATGCTGAGGGTGTTCGGTTGCATGGCAGTCGCCCACGTCCCCAAGACCTACCGCAGTAAGTTGGGGGCGAGTGCAATCTGGTGTGTGCATTTGGGGCTGGCTGCTGAGAGCAAGGGATGGCTGCTGTGGGAACCATCCAAGAGTGTGTTGTTTGACAGCAGGGATGTGAAATTCATTGAGGGCATGATGTATGGGAGCTGGGAGAAACAGCCGGAGGCAAGGGTGTCCCAGCAGATGGAGCAGATCACCATGCAGCTGGACCTGACTCCTAGTGTGTGGGAGGAGGGAGAGGAGGCAGCTGCTGGAAATGGTGATGGAGAGAAGGTACAGGAGGCATCTGCTGGTGGAGAAAATGGTGTGGAAACTGGCGGCAGCACTAGTGGAGCTGCTGGACCCGAGGGAGGAGAGAAGCAGCAGGGAAAAACTAAGAAGCCGAAGGGTGTCGTTATGAAGGGATGGGAGACACCCGTCTCCAGGCCAGGACGTACCCGTATGGCTACTAAGAAGCTGACTGCAGGAACTGATGCAGCAGAGCAGCAGCTAGGGACCGAAGAGGCATTGCTGATTCTACCTCATGGCTATGACCCGGATGAGGAGGATGAGCCTGCGTACTGTTTTCTTGCCCCTGCACCAGAGGAACCAGCTAGCATGGAGGAGGCATTAGCTGGACCAGATAGGGACAAGTGGCTGGCTTCTAGGGATGCTGAGTACCAGAGTCTGCTGGAGAATAGGACATGGGATCTGGTGGTGCTGCCTGATGGGAAGAAAGCGATACAATGCAAGTGGGTGCTGAGGATCAAGACCGATGACAAGGGGCAGGTCACCATCTACAAGAGTAGGCTGGTGGCGAAGGGGTTTATGCAGAAGGAGAAGCGGGACTTCAATGAGATCTTTGCTCCCACTGCCAAACCCCCTACCCTCCGTGTCTTGTTGGCAGATGCAGCTGTTAGTGGGAAATTCATCATTCAGATGGATATTTCAACGGCATTCCTGAATGGGATTTTAGAGGAGGATGTGTACATGACGCAGCCGCCTGGGTATGAGGATGGTACGGGCAGGGTGTGCAAGCTCAACAAGTCCATCTACGGCTTGAAGCAGGCGCCACGCTGCTGGTACCAGAAGTTGGCAGCTGTTTTAGAGGAGATGGGATTCAGGACCAGCAGCTGTGATGAGAGCCTCTTTCTCAAGGGCGAGGGGGAGAAGCTGGTGCTGTTTCTGGTCTATGTGGACGACATTCTTCTCTTCAGTAGCAGCATGAAGGAGATCCAGAAAGTGCAGCAGCAACTGATGAAAAACTTCAAGTGCAAGAACCTTGGGGAGGTAAAGTACTACCTCGGGATGCACGTGGAGAGGGATCCAGATCACAGGTGGTTGAAG